TGAGCAATCTCCCTCTTGCTCTCTCTCTCTCTCTCTCTCTCTCTCTCTCTCTGTCCTCTCTCTACTCGCATCCCTTTCTTTCTGGTAACATTATCTTGTGTGTTTCCTGTCGTTGCAGTACCACGTCAGCAAACATGTGTGTGCGTGTGCGCGTGTGTGTGTGTGTGCGTGTGTGTACATATGTATTTGTATTGGAGAGTCTGAGTGCGTGTGCATGACCATACCTTCCTCTCCAATCTCTGCTAACAAATCTGTAGCTTCTTTTAAGCAACACTAATTTCATCGTAACAAATGATGCATAGTTTGGTCTCTTGTTCTTGTTCTTGTTCTCTTGTTTCTGTCAGTGATATTGCATCTCAACAGTAGTGATAATCAACGAGTATAAAGAAAGTAAGTAAACAATATAAACAATAATTTAATCTAAAAAAAGATATGAATGTGTCAAAAACAGAGCAAGAACGCTTTCAGACATCAGAGGAGAAACCAGATTTTATCATTATAATCATTACTCTTGTCATCATTATTATTAGTATCATCTATGTCCTTATCATCATCATCATTATTATTATTTCAATGTTTTTTGTAATGACTAACATTGTTACAGTTACTTTTATTGCCGTTTTTGCAATTGTCAGTATCATCAACGTTGTTAGTCTTGAATGGGGGTTTTGATGGTTATTGTTGCTGTCATTATCATCATAATCGACAGTAATTAGAACTATTAATATTAGGACAGAAACAAAAGTAGAAAGATACATAGAACGGAGGGTAAGTATATAAAAATACAAACAAATTCATGCATAAATTCTTTGTTCTTGTAGTATCCGCCAGGGATTGAACCCGAGTCTGTCGCGTAGGAGGCGACTGTGCTAACCACTTCACTACAGAGATATGTAATAAAACCTAATTTTACTAGGATTATATTGCAGCTTTTACGATCACGCTTATATATATGTGATATAATCCTAGTAAAATTTGGTGTTATTACATGTGTCTGCGGTGTAGTGGTTAGCACAGTCGCCTCTTACGCGACAGACTCGGGTTCACTCCCCGACGGATGCTACAAGAATCAAAACTTTATGTATGAATTTGTTTGTATTTCTATATACTTACCCTCCGTTCCATGTATCTTTATACTTTTGTTTCTGTCTCTTTCTCCGGTGTTTACAATGAGAAGGAGTAAGAAGGAGTTGGAGTGTCTGATTGTTTTGTTGTTTGTTAGTGTTTATGCACGTTTTCGTAATTTTGCTGTTAGTCCTCTCATAATCATATGACTGTTAGTGATATGAGAAGCAAAGAATAGGTGGAGGAAGAAGAGGACGAACACGTGATGAAGAGAAAGAAAAAATTATCAAGACGGAGTAGAAAAGGTGGAAGTGTTAGTGTTATCTTCGTTCCACTTTGCCTCCAGATAAGAAATACGATTTCAAAGGAGAGAAGAATGATCTCTCTTTTTGTATAGTAGCTTGATAATCACCTATATATTTGGAAAGGTCTGTTTTCACCGTAGTTCACAGTGTCACGAAATAAATGAATGCTACTTATGGTACGTCGGTGAAATAACAATGCAAAGTAGACAAAACAGGCAGTACAGCTACCAAGGTAATAATTGTAATATTATATATGAATAATAATATATATCAATACTACTACTATTGCATTGTGACAGCTGGATCCTGTGCTAACCATGTCTTCTATTTTGTATGAGATGTAATTCTTGTTTACATTTCATTTTATTCTCTCTTCTCATGAAACTATTTTTTCATTTACATATATATATATATATATATATATATATATATATATATATATATAATATATACATACATACATATATACATACAATTTGGTATATCATATATTTCATTCGAAGATTTTCAAAATGAGTAGTCTTTTAAACATACTGAGAAAGCATGTAATTTTATAGCGACTTACAGTTGCATATTGATTTATATTTATCTTCGAAACATACTGAGGTTAGGTAAAAACTGTTACTTCAACAGAGAGTTATAAAAAAAAAGATATGAAAACATATTTTCATCTAACATGAATTGGAATGAATATCTATAATTTCGAAACTGGTTCATGGGGTGAACGAATGCAATTATATAACTTTGGTAGATATGTAATGAAAAGAAATATATTATTTGTGATCATGGGATATATCAGCACATATTTCTCCAGCATCATATAATAGATGGTTGTCGAGGAATATGCACGAGATGAAAATATGAAAATATGAAAAGTGTAAAGAGGAATTTATTTTAAACATTTATGGGGTGAAGGAACGTAATTATATAACTTTAATAGATATAAAATGTAGAAAGATAATATTCGATGGGTAGTTCTTTTTTATTTTTTATTGGATAATTTAGAAAAAAATAG